GGGTGTCAAACAAGGGCTTTAATTTGTATTTAGGCCATGTTTGTTCGAATTAAAATCGAATTTTAATCTAAGTCAAAGTCGAACAATCAATATCAACCACATCTTTTATGGTCCCACAACTTTTCAACCACATATTTTAATTCAAAAACTTCTATCACAATTTACTAAAAATCTAATTTTAATCCCCACAAAACATCCACTTAATTCTTAATATAGCTTTATATTTAAAGAGGCTCATTTTCTACACTGACATTTAAAAGTTGGCCTTTTCTTCTAATAATCACTCGAAACTAAGCTTTCCCCCTTTCGTTGCTACACTCGATTATAAGCCCTAACGAATTTGCACTCTATTTCTTTCCAAAACCCTAGACAGTACAGGGCCAAAATGTCGTCTTCCATCGCCCTCCGCCATGCCCGTAACCTCTGCACCACCACCGTAGCCGCTGCCACTGCTACCGCAGCCAAACTGTCCGGGCCCTTGTCCATTTCCCAAACCAAAAGCAAACTAAGACACGAATACGACCCAGACATGGCCCTTCAAATCTACTCCTCCTTTACTTCCTCCAATAACCATTCCTCCTCAACCTCCTCTGTTCGCTACGCCCAGGAGTTCACCGTCCGTCGTCTTGCCAAATCCCACCGCTTCTCCGACATTGAATCATTTCTTGAGTCCCACAAAACGCTTCCCCAAATTACTGAAGAAGCCTTCCTTGCCTCCCTCATTCGATCCTATGGTGTTGCGGGTATGTTCGAGAATGCCCTCAAAACGTTCGATGAAATGAATTCTTTGGGCACCCCTCGATCATCACTCTCCTTCAATGCTCTCCTTACTGCTTGTGTACACTCCAAACTGTTTGATCGTGTGCCCACTTATTTTAGGGAGATTCCGGCAAAATACGGGTTTTCTCCTGATAAATTCTCGTTCGGTATATTGATTAAAGCATATTGCGAGATGGGGTCGCCTGAAATTGCAATAGAGAAGTTGAGTGAAATGGAGGAGAAGGGGATTGAGGTTACTCCAGTTACTTTTACCACAATTTTACACGGATTGTACAAGACGGGAAGGAGTGCGGAGGCCGAGATGTTTTGGGATGAGAGAGTAACGAAAAAGGGTTGTGTTCCTGATGTTGGGGCATATAATGTGAGGCTTATGCATATTCATGGCGGTGAGGTAGAGGGGGTTACGAGGTTAATTGACGAAATGAGTAATGCTGGGATAAAACCCGATGCTATTAGTTATAACTACTTGATGACGTGCTATTGTAAAAATGGTATGATGGATGAAGCAAAGAAGGTATATGATGAGTTGGGGTCTAAATGCTGTAATCCAAATACGACTACTTTCAGGACGTTGGTGTTTCATTTGTGCGTCGTTCCTGCTATACACTGTCCCATTAAGGTGTTTAAAGAGAGTGTGAAGTTGCACAAGATTCCGGATTTTAATACTTTGAAGTATTTAGCAGAAGGGCTGGCCAAGAATGGACATATGAACGAGGTGAAAGCAATGATTCGAACTATGAATAAGAAGTTTCCTCCTAATTTGCTGAAGGCTTGGGGGAAGCTTGTGGAGGATCTAGACTTGGCTCCTATTGACACTAACAAGGTCGATTCTGGTGAGTCAGAAATGGCCAGTACCTGAGTTTTTGTGTCTTGAATTGGTGGACTATTGTACACTTTTGAGCAAGTTAGATTGGATTTTTGGGTAGTCATAAAACTTCAAGATAATGTTTTCTAAGTGCTGTTGCTTACAGCTCAACACCGAGGGCTATATGTGGAGCTCATCAAGATTTATAATGCATCTCGTGATAATTAGAACATCAAAAGCATATGTACTTTCAGTTTTACGTTAATGTTGATCTCATCTTTTGTTTTAAGCCTATCTTTAAGCCTATCTACTTTCATTTTTTCTTTTACTCTTGATTCTTTTTATTTTCTGAATTGTTTAGATCCCATTCGAGGATAAACACAAATGTGCAGAAGTTCTATTTTCCCATATAGTTTTACTAGTATATTCCTTATTGCCCATGTCATCCACACTTGATTCAGCAGCATCCACCAATTTGGAACTAAAAGTGAAAGCCATATTTCGACCCCAATCCATAACTGGTGCTTTGGTTTGCTGTTGTTTGTCTGTCTCTATACCTAGTTAGTGCCTACCTGGCCTTATGGACATAAATTTATGCCAACAATCTTGAACAATGATTCTAGGAAAGCTACAAACTGCTTGCCGAAGCGGATTTCTGAATTTTTTAATTTCATAACGATATAAATTGTTTACACTGATATTTGGAAGTGTTTTGATTGAGCGATTTTTAGAAATTTCTTTCGCATAAACGACATAGTCAAGCATTCCAAGATACAAGCAATCAATTTAATAAATTAAGGATGACATTTTTTTTTTTTGGAGGTTTAAATGCATTCAACTACATAGGGCATTTTAGTTACAGTTAGTCCGTTACTATTATTTCTATAATAGATTCATGCTTGAATGACTTGAACTAGAGTCTCTATATAGAATAGATATTTCACCCTCCTCTCTACTGTCAGAATAAGTTCTTATCAGGTTTAAATGATACATCAAATATAAATTTTAAGGACCTCGGATCCCCAACCTTTGAGCAATAGTACAAGAAAGCCTCTTCACGTTTCGTATCTCAACCTCATATTTTGTTCTTTAAACTTGAATTGTCTTTATTTTGATCATTATTTGGACCGTTGCTTCCATGTATATTCTGAATTTTCTGTCTAAATAAAATTGTTATGAGTTGTATTATCTATTTATACCTTCTTGTATATTTCCAAAATATATGCATTACTATAAAAAAAATATATTATCATTAACCATTGTTATAGACAACACTTCCATAATGGAAAACATCAGCAAACAAAATCATTAAGTTTCATGAAGTGCTTTACCCAACAAAATAACAACTTAACACACAATCTAGAAAGTGTTTTACCCAACAACATAATAGCTTTGACGATGTGGCTTATCTGCTGTTCCTTTGAGTGGCTAAATTGGATGAACAGACCTCTGAATCCTTACCAGTTCTTTTGCCACATCGATTATGTCTGGCCTATCTGCTCCTCTTTCAACAGTACATCTCAAAGCAAGTCTC